ATCCTTAGTCTGGTCTTTTCCAGAAACAATTTTCTCTACCCAGTAGCAAAATGTCCGTATCAGAACTTCTTGCTTTCTCTAGACATGCAAATGTCTCATTGACACTGGGTAGGATGAAGCCAACAGCAAATTTTAACTGAGATAAAACATTTCATCTGAAGGAAGAAATGCCATCTGGTTAGGGAGCTCTGGTTCACGTCTGCTGGAAGGCTGGAAATTTACCCAATTTGAACACTGCAGAAGCATTCAAAGGACTATGTTTAAGTCAAGGCAACTTCTCCACTAACTTTTACTCCAAGCAACATTTTCTGCCTGGAAGGCAAAAGGCTCACCCAAGTGTGGTGCTGACTACTTTCAGCTTCCACTGAACACAAAAAGAACCGACAGTGCTCACTTGGCTTTGTGGAATCATTTTCAAGAACAAGTTCCTATTTGATTCAGATCTGTTCTCTCACTCTTTGTATTAAAAACACAATGACTTACATAATTTTAAGGGATTTTTTAAAATGTAATTAAACTGTGATTACAGTTTGAAACTAATAGACTTAAAGATTTGTAGCTATTTTCTACAAGAACTGAATGAGCTATTTTTGTGCACAGTGTTCCTAGGTGTGTTTTATGGTTCTTATTTTATGTATTTATTACATATCAGTATGTAATACAGGCCAAGTTTTAGACAGAAGAGAAGAAATAACATTTGCCAAAGCTATGCTTGTCAGTTCATATGTCCACGTCTTCTTTTAATGGCCTAGATCATTTAAATCAATGAAAAAACTTCTTATTGCTTTTCAGAAGTTACTGGGATTTGATGGCTACAGAACCTGGTCCAGGAACTGGAATTATATTACAGCCATTATCTAACAATTTGTAAAACAAAGGGATAAAAAAAAATAACTGACAAACAGAACTCCTATTTGAGTTGCACAGCCTGTTCGACTGGCAAACTGTAGTCAGGTTTTTACATACCTGATCAGTATTGGCACACACAAAAAAATAATATGATAGTGTAGCCTGGTAGGTATGATTAGGCACATAAAATCCCATTTTTCTAGAGATTGTTTCTGATTCTTTTCTTCATGGAAAGTAATCTGTATACTCCAATGTTTATTAATCCAGTAGAAAGAAAAGTGATAGCTTATTAACAGTTAGTTACTGCAGGTTTTAGTATATTACAGACTATTCTATGTGAATTTAAAAATAAATTTCTTAATTTTCTACCACAATGCCGATTTGGAAAAACATTTTTTTTCTAATATACTAGTGTCAACATAATCACACAGTAAGAGAGGTGTAAAATCCCATAAATCAAGAAAACTCTTGATACTTAGTAGTTTTGAGGCAATACAATAAATAACTTAGGTCCCTAGGCTTCTGATCAATTCAAGCTTCAAGCATAAAACAACAGATCACTCTAATAGTCTACTATCTTCTCATTCACACTGTACATAAAAATTCATCTATTCCTGAAACTATTGCCTAAGAAAAATACTAACAAAGTGGTTCTATAAAACAGAGTTCTGAGAACAAACATTCAACTGTGTTTTATACATGGCAAATAATTTACGTTGTCTTTTAAACCAAACTGTGGCTTATGATTCATATACATATTTAACAACTGATGTGCTTTCAGTTGTGAGTCAGATAAGTGCTCCAAGTTTGTTGGCTAGAAGACCAAACCAGCATGTTTTGTCATTATTTTCCACACTAAAATTAGCCAAACACCAGAGAGAACGATTCCTTTGGATAATAAAACATGCTTCTAAAAGATAGTGAGAGAACCTGTGAGAAGTAGCATGGCACAGTACTTTCTTCTTATTCACCAAAACAACCATCAAGTATGAAAACTACATAGGAGTTGGGATGCTGGACAGCATCTCTCTGCAGAAGATTCTCAAATATTACCTACAATCTGCTGCTTCCTTTCATTTGAGAGGCTCTATACATACTTGTAGCACCACATTTCAGAATTTTGCAAGCATGATATCTTAATTTTTTACGTCTATTTTAGGACTGAATCAAGACAGAAAGGTATTCCTAGCATTTCACATAGTAGACCAGTGTGCAGGAAAAAAGGAGTGCGGGCACAGCCTACACAGAAGTACAGAAATATGCACAAACCCTGTTTTTAGAATTCTACCTGGCACACAGGAGGCAACAAAGGTGTACACAAAACTAATGTTAAGTGAGGACATTGCACAAAGAGAGCCTTTTAAAATCATCTCTTCTGGGCTGCTGCACTAAAAGAAGCAACACTTTTTACACAGCACACAATGGGCACCGACATTGTGGAATGCACAGGCACAGGGGTCATTGGCATTGTGCAGCTATTGAAAATCTGGAAGAATCTTGCTGGAAATAGCACCTATGAGTGTCACTGAAATGTTTTCCGTAAGGATGCTGAAGGAGAGGAACTGCAGAGCTAGACTGAATGTGGGGACCGGGTGAGGAGAAAGGGGCTGCCCCAGTCTTACTGCTGTGGCATGGCACCAGCTGACTTTAGTGGGTTTTTCCCTTGTCTGCTGGGACTGGATTTTTCCTGTAGGTATGTAGCAGGAATAACAAACCCGTCTGTGGGAGATGGAAAGTGCTCCTGTTTCCCAGAACATCCCGTTGATTGGTGAGAAGAGTGCAGTGTCTGGCTGTGGGTGCTCTTGGAGCTCATCATCCATCCTTACTTCTAATGTATTTTTTGCTAGGCAGTGGGCTTTAGCTGCTGAACCAGTCCTGCAGAACACATGCTGACAGAGTAATTCTTAAGAATTGTGTTCTGAAGTATTTTTTTAAAGGGTTTATATGAGGAGTTGTCATCACAGTCTGGATTGAGTATGTCAAGGAGCACTTTCTTCTCACGTATAATTCTAATTCTACACATACAGCATTAATAAAGGTACTCGAGGACTACAGCCTCCATGAAGATATAAGGAGCAAGAGCATGATGCAAGCAGTCTCCCAGTTGTCTTTGTTCTGTCTCACTAGGAGCGTGGTTCCCCCATGCTGTCAGCCAATGCCAGTGCTTTGCCCAGCCAGAGAACAGTTCTCCTTGGTTTACCAGGGTAAGTTAAGCCTCGTGGCTTGGCAGGGGAGGTGGGAATAAGAGGAAGCCCAAGACATGTCAGGGAAGGACTGCTGGAATTTCCTCCTGAAGAGATTTTGAAAAGGAAGTCATTTGGAAAGTCCTTGGGCCTTTGAATACATCCATTGCTACAAGGGAAAAAAGATCTTTTTCCCAGCCCTGTCAACACAGAATTTTTTTTTGTTATTCCTGCCATTTCCACCGATGTTTATTCCACAACATGACCACTAATGCAACCTTTTCCAAGCTATTTCTCCTGAATGCTCCCCCATATAACCTGATCCTATATTAGACGATGTACAGCACCATGTTGCAGGAGCTCTGCTTCCAATTCCACATGCCACCTGTGCTTTTTTCTGCTGCTTGCTTGAGCTTCAAGTCTGATACTACAAACTAGGAAATGTTGCCCCAACAGTTAATTTTCTGGCAATTTCCACCTTTTTCATTCATTCTTGGGCTCACAATAACCTTTGGCTTTAAGCATTAACTTCCCTCTTTTTTATTTTGCCCTAACAATTTGCTTACAGTCAGCAACCATATTCTCTTCCAGCCTTTGTGTTGCTAAGCCCAGTACACCCAGCTCTCCTACCAGACAGCAGATGCACTTCACCATCTGAGAGTCTGGAGTCTAATTGGAAAGCAACACCCCCAAACCCACACCCAGACCCATTTTCACCCCATGTTAGCTCTTGGAGAGCTCTGGGAAAGTTCCCTGACAGCTGATGGCAAGCCAGTATCAGCTGAATGCCCTGATAGCGTATGTACGGAAGCTTGGCGGTAGTAACATGTGGAATGTTTTACAAAGTGCTAAGCTGTGTAGAAAACTTTTCTATTGTTGCTGTTGCAAGATTCACCTGTATTTTATCTCTGTCATTCTAATTAGTGTTTAAAAAATGCGATCAAAAATACCACCTTGGTCTATTCTTTTCTATGAATACCAAAGCCCCGTTCCCACTCAGGTTCACTGAATGGCAGAGGAACAGGGTTGGTTCAGCACCAGTACCACGGGCTCGCCGCTCTCCTTGGATGTATGAGCAGAGAGACCGGCAGAAGCGAAGCTGAGCTCAGAGCAGTGAGCTGCCGTGGCTGCTCCTTGGCCTTCAGCTTGCCACGGTGGAGCTTCCAAAATTCTTGTGCTGTGCCTCTGTATCATCCTCGCGTGCAGATGCCTCATATGTGCTCTTGCCAGGCCTAATATGCAACTTGCCTGTTCATGCTGGTAGGTTTTGAACAGGAACCATTCTGGGCATGAAGAAAGGCACAGGCTACTGCATGCATACACACAAGCGGTTCTTTTAAAATCTGGCCCATTTAAAGTAGGCATAATGTTAACTACAAGTCGCACAGTTAAGTGTCTAATAGTAAAGAAAAGCTTTATCCAGGAGACCGGTAAGATCCACTCACCATCTTAGCAATGGGCCATGTCCCAGACAGTACTGATACCTGAAATAGAGTTAACAGTGAAGTGCACCACAGCACGCAGTCTGCCACGGGGCTGAGAAACCCGCCAGGAGACAGCTACAGGTTCCTGAGCCCTGTCTGGCACAATTACATCGCTCAATTCAGTGCTAAGGACCTGCTTTTGCCAAGCGTGCCGTGAGCAAGGGTGTAACACTGGCTCCACAGCCAGACGAGAAGAAGTAGAGATGAGGAAGAGAGTAGCCTAAGGGACTGTCATAGAGTAAGCAAAGCTGTCTGCCTCACTTCTCATCAGTAACACTGCAGTAGGGTGTATTTATATTTTTATGGTAAGGGTTAACTCGTTGGACCAATTTTTCCCCCAAGTCATATTCAGGTAAATGCACTGAAGTCATACAAGGAAATGGCTTTCATGGATTGAAAATATTTCTTTCTTTCTTTTTTTTTTTTTTTTTTCCCAGTACAGTATTAAAAAAAATAAATGCTTCTTTTTAAAATACTGAAAATATTTTTTAGTTAAGGTAAAAATACTAAATATAACATTTTAATGTAATATTTAAAATTACTGCTCTATAAAGGCATGTGAATTGCTTAGTTATTTTGACATTCAGTAATGGCACATTAAGCTTAGTGGAGAAGCATGTGCCAGTATACCACATGGTGGCTTAGGAGAGAAGCTCATGCATTTCTGCATAGAAAACAAGTCTTCTTAATAAGCAACATCTGAGGCATTTTGTGACAGTAATGTTCATGACTTGAGATGCATGGCGGCTGTTGTAGGTAAGGCAGCACAGTATGCAGCATACAGTTCCGCACAGGTAAATAACTGTACTTAACAAGCATAGCATTCTCTCCTTCCAAACTGGAAATATTTTTTCTATGTTCCTTTTCAGAGAATGACGACAACAGGTTAAAGATGAAAACCTGCATTCATTTTCATTGGATCTACTCGTGACTTTGAGCTGCATATCAGAAAATTTCAGAATGAGAGAAAGAAAGTGTGTTTGCAGCTGTTTGCGGAAAGGAACGATGGGTTAGATGATGGGTTAGAATGTGCATGGATTCCAACATAAACTGACCATTTGGAAACTGAATGGATCTTTAAGAACGAGACCTCGTAAGTTTTTTTAAACACTTGCTTTTGAAACATACACACAAACTTAACTAGATAATAACTTGTTTGTGTATTAAAAAAACCCCTAAAAGCTGAGACATCTATTACGATCACTATCATAACTGTTGCTTTTATAGAGCGATGAAATAACAAAATAATCCATCCAAGTTTTCAGCTGGGGAAGGACCTGCATGTATTCTATGAGTGCACAGTAGCTGGATGTATTAATGTATGTATCAGTTAACTGCAGGTTGCAGAGATCTGATACTTCAATGCCATTCTTTAAATATCACTCTAAGAGATCACACCATCATAATAAAAGTACCAAATCATGCTTCAGCAGCTAGAGAGATTGTATCCTGTTTTGGCAGTGACTTGATCATCCTACTCCACACTGGCAGCATTCAATTTTAGAAGGATAAAACGGCAGCAAAACTGGTCAGCAGCTTCTCTTCGTCTGGAGTTTTCCCAGGCAGATAAACAAGACAAAAACAAAACAAACATAAAGCTGCAATGGGAGCAGGCCAAAGCCCTGGCCCTTGCATTGCTCTGATGAAAGTAAACTACGTTGATTTCCTTGGATAAGCACATTGCAATCCCAAAACGAAAGACAGTGTGTAAAACCTCCAAACAATGATCTTCACTAGAACAGCCATGTGGTTTGTACGGGACAGTGGCCTTGTCAGCTACATATCTTGTTCATTTATAGGTTCATCTTCAGTCAGCATTGTGATGCATTCACCTCACTGGAGTTTTGGCTGGATGACATGTGAGAGTCCAGATTCTCCTTGCATTTCTCCAGACCATGGAAATATGGGTGAGACAGGGCAGCATAGGCAGATATTCTCTTGGCTGGATTGAACGCTAAGCATTTCTGTAAGTATGAAAAGAAGTTGTTTTTAACTACAGTGTAGAGTTAAAATTGTTAACATCGCAAGTCACAGCCCATTTTTATCAGTATGAGACACAACGGGGTCACAGACGGTGCTGCGTGATAAAGATGACCATGCACATTAAAACAAGCAGTGGGGCAGTGGGCTTACAGAATCCCCAAGGCTGATAGAAAATACCAGGTTAGAATATTAAAGTGTTCATAGTTTAGGAAGCCTCAGAATTCATATTTTCTTGAATTCATATGCACAGGACAGACTCTGCCTCACAGGCTGCAGGGAACAAGTATTTACAAACGGCTTTTGAATCCTCTCAGTACTCAATGCACTGCTCTTTTGTGCTTATACAAACACGGAGCGCTTTCTAAGGTATGTATTAATTCCTAGGGTCAACATCTCTATAGAAGTTGAATCTTTGACTTTATACCCTTTGTGTGTTAATGTTAAGCGTTCAGTTTCCTACATTTAAAACAAGCAAACAAACAAAACAGAAAAATTCCATCATGCTGAAATACAAGAAAAATCCAAAAGAATATTTAATATTCATCAATGCCAGTCTGCAAGTGTGCTGAATACTCATGCTGTTCAGTACCATCGTCTCGTGTTTTTCACTGACTTCATGTAAAGTGTTGTCTGATGATGTAGTTATTTGGGCTTTAACTGTTTGTTTATTCTGCATCTATTTGAAAAATGGCAAACTGAACTCTTGGATTCTTGCAGTGACTCTTTAGGACTAACATAGTGCAAATCTGCATGACTTATCACTGAGCTGAAACCTTTAGAACATGGCTTTCTGCCATAGTAATGACAGCAGTAGGGCTGGTCAGTATGTTAAGCATTCCCAGACAGAAGTACTTTGATAGTGGATTTCACTTCTGTATGTAAGAGGAGAAGTGATGACTTTAAACTATTTCATTCGGAGTCTTTTCAGAGTTGTGCTGAAGTGATCACAGATCTTAGGTCTATTACTCTTAACTTGTTCCAAACCCCTACCTGCTTGTTGCAGATTCATTCTTCTTCCCTAATTTTCAGTCTAATTCCACTGTTTATGTTCCAGTGATGGTAGACTTGTATTTTAAGGTCACCTTAGAAGCTCTTGTATCATCCCACTAGGAATTCTCCCTCTTCTTCATAGTTGTACTTTGCTTGCCTACTTTCCAGATGCTTTTCCCAGCCTTGGATCAGTCAGCTCAGAACACTCTCCATATGTTTTATACCTTGGTCTTTTCCTTTGCTTCACCTTCAAATAGCATTCATCCTAGTGTCCTTGTCTAAGCAGTTTCAGCACTCACTTACTTTACTTGCATCAGAATTTCTATCATTTGACTCTTGAAATTTAATTTACAAGCACAACTTGTTTGCTTCTGTTCAATCCTGCCAGCTGTAAGAGGCAATGATTAAATGGCAAATTCCAAATCTCAACTTTTCAGTACTCTGATTCTGATGTAATCTGCCTATACAGCCCACTTCCTGCTTTGCACTATCCTGTGAAAAATGGCAGATCATTTTCTGTACTTATATCAGACTAGTATTAGAAGAAGGGCTTCTAATAGGTTGCACAGTAGCACTCAGTAATGAGGATCAAGGCAGAAGATATGTCAAACAGGTCCTTCTGTGGCAGTTTCCTAGCCTTTATCTGTCCTCACCTCTGACACCTCTTGAGCCAAATATGGTGTCTTTGTGCTGATGTTTCACATATATACACAAATTTGTCTACTTGCTTTTCTGCTTCATTAGTAACTTCATTAAATGGAAACAGAAATGTTTCTTGGCATGCAGCTATCAGTCATGCAGTTTGGACAAAACAGATGGAAACTCACAAGAAGCAAGTCTTTGCCCATTTCATCAATATCTGGTACAAATTTTTCAATAGGTTGTGCGGGTCTGGAAGCAAAAGCATTTCTTGGAAGGGCAACATCGTTAGGCCAGTCCTCTTCTTCTGGGAGTCCAATTACACTGTGCAAAGCAAAGCATAATGTTAGCTCTGGACATCTATGCAGTCTCCGTTTTGTATTTAATGTACTGAGTGACAATTTACTTTATGATTAAGTCTTTTAGTTCAAATGAGATTAGTTGAACAGTAATGCACTGATCACTGTGAATAGAGGGTGATGAGTGTAGGTCTTCAATGTGCTTGGCAGAAATCATTCTGTGGCCAGCACGCTTTTCTGGCCTAGGTCTCAATTTTATGAGTCTTTTTTGTTGAAAAAGTGCTGAGTGCTTTGGAAGAAATTTGCTCAGCTCTTGACTGGATGGTGCAACATATGTCACTCCAGGATGATTAAAAGCAGTAAGTTTCAAAGGGGAATTGCATGCAAGGACCTTTATTCACAAGAATAGAGGCTGAGAGAAGAGTGTGGGTCAAGATGAGGGTAAGGCAATAAAAGGGATGTTTCATAATGCTTCAAAGCTATGTGCAGTAATTGTTGCCTAAAGTTAAACAATTTATTTGCTTCACAATACAGGCTTTAAAGCCTCAGTTCAGAAGTGGCATAGGACTTCAGTATCTTTGTGTTTCTATTTGCCTTTGTATTTTATTTTTTCTTTACTTTTCAATAGAATATTTGAATTTCTTTTTATCATTTCTTACCTTGTTACTTTAAATTCTAGAAGGCATTTAAACTCAGTAAATAACTATGCTAAGGTTAAAATAAAATAAATGAAATAGTACGTAAACATCCAATACTGGGTCATGTCTCGTATATTTCATGTTTTAGTCTGAAGTTAATGTTTGTGGTAATGAAACATCAGTTTCTCATGGAAATTCTGGAAAAGACCTGACATTCTATGTCAGGTTTCAGGGAAAACCAAATTATACAGCCTGTAAAGTTGAGATTTTCAATTCAAATGCTAACAGCAAGAGGAGAAGGAACAAGGAAAAACTTCACTAAATCCCTGGGTCTGCAGTAAGCCCAGTGCCACTAGGGAGCAGCATTGACCTTTCTTGCTGAAGTTGGTAATAAGGCTGGGTGAGGCCAAAGGCCAACATTTAGATGTAAATCATAGATTACCTGAACTGAGTGGAATTAGTCCAGCTCTATCTACACGGATTTTAGATTATAATTTGGCTCAGCTAAAATTAACATGTCCTCAAAACAAAAGTGTGACTAGAAGGTCAAAGCAATTAATACCTCAGAGAACTTTAAATCTTACTGTATCAGAAAACAACAAAGCTCTTGGGAAAAGATGAGTTAAATCTGTCTGAAAAATTACGATGTTTTTATCAGGACAGGTATGTCAGCAGTATGGTGCAGCACCCCACAGTGGTTATAGCTGCATGATTAGCTGTTTGAGGATCCGAACCTGCATTAAACATAACACAAACAGCACTGTTGGAGGACAAAGGAGTTAAATATTTTAAATAACATTGAAATCTAGCCTGCCATTCAATTGTGTTTGGCCAGTCCCAGGCTTTTTATTTTTTGTACGAGAGAGCATGAAGAGGCCAGAATTAGCACAGGCCCAGGCAAAGCTAACAAAAGAAACCAGGAGGCAGCCAGTCAGGCAGGTAGGGCGGACAAGACCAAGAGTGGAAAGATATTTTTAGTTATGCGCTCCTGCAGTATTCAAAACTCTTAATAATGAATGTCTAAGAAGATGCCCTCACTCTGGTCTTGTAGCATTACCGTTTCAGTGACTAAGTTTGGGTGTATCTTGGATGAGTTTCACCTCCTGCCAAACGTTCAGGCCTGGTCTTGAGAAATGCTGAGTACTTTCCGCTCCCGTTGATCACAATGAGAGACAAGTCTGCTCATACCATTGCAGCATTTACCCTGAAATCTGTGAGGATATCCCACATGCAGACAGTGTCCTAGAAAAGCAGGACATTGTTTGGGGCAACCTCCTAAGGACTTACCCTCAAGCACACTGGAATTTTACCTGAGGCAAATCAGCACATGTAAAGCAAAGGCAGACCACAGCCCGATTATATGAAAGAATACATCAGTCCAGTCTGCATGAAAATCCTGAAACTACTTTCTGCCCAAATTTGTCTGGAGAATGACTCACTACCGTAGAAAGAAACAATCCTCCTACAAGAAGAGCTATGCCTAACTGTATGGGGTTGTCCAGCTGTGAAAACACAAGATAAACACTATTTTACCCCCCAAACCCAAACAAGTGACTTCTGAACTATTTAAGGAGAAATGTGCAAAAGAAGCAAAAGCAAACTTTCTCTTTAAGTAAATGTATAATAAGGAATTTCTTCTAAAATTAGCACTGCATTTTCTTTTCTTGATGAATTCTTTTCTGCACAGGTAATCGCCCCCTAGGGATGGAAAGATCCTCCTGGAGGTTGCTGCTACCGGTTATGTATTTAATCCTATCCCAATTAATTTAGATTTTTCCTCTTAATTATCATTAGTAAATCAAATCAAAATCCCTAAAAAAAAACAAAGCTTTTTTTTTTTTTTTTTTCCCCTCAAAATAAGTTCCATGTATCAAAACTATCTTCATTTAATAAAGCAGAATATTGCAGGACTGAAAGAGTAGCTTTGGCAGAGGAAAAAGTAAACTTTGAGGATTGATTTTTTTGGATTATGCAGGAAGAGCTGTTCAGCGCATGACAAATTAACCACGCAAGTGAGTCACATACACTGGTATGGCATGCAGGAAAAGGAAGTCAACTGTGTGAAATCAAGACCTGCAATTTAGGAACCTCATACTAAATAATGAAAATGCTCAGAAGCAGATCTGTTAACGACTTGAGAACTGGAAATATGGCTAGGCAGAAAAATTCATTATTTATTCTAATTATGCTCTTTTTCCTAAAAAATTTACTATCTTCTGTTTGCAGTATCTTTAACAGAACAGAGTTTCAACGTCTCCTCTTTCTCCCTCTCTCACTTTGCCTATCTGTTTCTTCCTTTATGAACATCAGCAGATCTTTGCAGTCTCTCCACAGGAAAAAGGAACGCAGTGGTGCAGAAGTAAACAGGCGTTCGTTCTGTGGCATGGGATGAGACCTAAGTGGGTCTGATTTCCTAATGAAGTGACGTGTACGTGAATCTTCAAATTACATGGTTCTTACAAATTTAGAAACATTCCTTGCCCTGAAGAGCTCGTACAAGAAAAAATTAAAAAAAGATATATTCCTACTTAATTAACACATTGGTAATATCGGTCATTTTACAATTTATTTTTTTGGTTGCTTCTGTTTCTAATAAGAACATACTTTGGAAAAGAGTTAATCTACCTCAGAGACTTCAGAGCCTCTCCACCTCAACATATTCTGTACATCTGAAGAAGAAGAACACAAACTCCTTGAATTTAGAAAAGGTTTTAAAGGAAAGCCTATTAGTCAGTCTCTGACAAAATCTACATTATGTGCTGCTATTCCTTCTATTCTCGTAGCTATCTGGACTATTAATTGTTCTAGCAGGTTATACAGTATTTTTTAAAAGCTAAACTATTTTCTCACGTATAGAAGGCTTTCCCATAAAGAAGCTGTTGGTAAGCATCCTCGACTTTTTAATTTGATTGGCATTTTAAAGGATTCTAATGTTATTTTCTGAAATACACGAGGAAATTACTGAAAAAAAAATGAAAACTGCATTTGTTGCAACAAAAAATGCATTTGTATTTGAGCCAAGAGAATCTCTTGAAACAAACTGCTTAGGAAAACTCATGAATAGTACATGCACAGTATGTTTAAGAGATTTAAAAAGCCCCAAACAGAAGCTTCTCGCAACTTCCTGATGATGGCTGCTAGTTCTGCAGAACTCTGTTCCACGCTGCTTCCTCCTCCCACTCTGACAGAGAATGCATGGAAATATCACGTTGCATAGAGTAGCAACAGGAAATGGGCTCTAGGAATACTTAGTTCTAGACACATTACTGCATTAAAAACACAGCAAAGAAACCTCACGGTATTTCAGTATTAAACATATATTGACATAATGCAACTGGTTATTACTTACTCAAAGATTTTTCCTAGCTGATCAACATCTGAATTTCCACGGAAGAGTGGTCTGAAAGAATAAAGAGATATTTTTTCCTTTAATTAATGGGAACTTTTATTTGTCAGCTGCCAACGTAGAGTGAAAGCTCGTTATTTTTCTGCGATCTCATTTCTTTTGCCTTCATATTTTATCCAGTCTTTGAGAATATTTTTCTACTAAACTTGATAAGAACCAGGACAGATGGGAAATATTTTTGAATATCCTACTTTTTAGAATTTAATTGCATCCTTCAACACGTATAACTTTCTCTCAGCTAATGCTATCCTATATATAATCAAAACAAGACAGAATATAATGAGCTGTTTAGAGAGACAAAAACAGAGTGAAATGTCATGCATTCATTAAATTATAATACAATTGGAGATTAATTATTATGGTATAAATTCAAAATTAAATTCTTTTTACGTTGTATATTGGAAACATATTTCCACCAAATTTAAAGGATCAAATAAATGAGAATGGATTTATGAAGGTCTGTAAAGAATGGGGTGTGAAGCGATACAGAATTTACCTTGAGGGAGAGGAATACTTCTGCTGCATAAATATATTCAGGAAAGAAACAAATTAATAGATGGAATTGCTAGAGCTTTCAGAAAAAGACAGTGTCAAAAATTACTTTCAGTCAGTGGCACACAGTTTTTCCTCTCAAAGTGAAATTTAAAATATTTTTACTCTGTATGACTGTATTGCCATTTTGGTCTACAGTACAGCAGGTTGTGATGAACAGCGCAGTTTTGTGTCTAAATTCCCAAGAGATTCACAGAATCACGGAATAGTAGAGGCTAGAAGGGACCACTGGAGATCATCCAGCCCAACCCCCTGCTAAAGCAGGTTCCCTACAGCAGGTTGCACAGGAAAGTGTCCAGGTGGGTCTAAAATACCTCCAGAGAAGGAGACTCCACAAGCTCTCTGGGCAGCCTGTTCCAGTGCTCTGTCACTCTCAAAGTAAGGAAGTTTTTCCTCACGTTCAGATGGAACTTTCCATCTGCAATTTGTGCCCACTGCCGCTTGTCCGGCTGCTGGGCACCACTAAAAAGAGCTCTCCCACCCAGGAGACATTTATAAGCACTGCTAAGATCCCCCTCAGTCTCCTCCAGGCTGAACAGCCTCAGGTCTCTCAGCCTTTCCTCATAAGGGAGATGCTCCAGGCCTCAATCATCTCTTCAGCCCTCTGCTGGACTCTCTCCAGGAGTTCCCTGTCTTGTTTGCAGCCTGCTAGTCAGGCTACCCCTCTCTCTGGATCACAGCCCTCAGAAAACACTGCAAGCTATGAATTTATGGTCACAGTTCCCAAAACTATTCAACAGAGACATGGTGACTTTACAAACTAAGTATTTTCCCATGCATCTTTGATTATGAAGAAAGGTCAGTACTTTCATGTCTCCCTGTACACTCCTTTTCTTCTCTCTGAAAAGGTCCTAAAAAGCTACATCCAGAGCCACCATCTTCACTGTTTCACTTCTCAGGATAAAACCTCTCCCGTCTACAATGGGAGAACAAGAAGTATTCAGAGACAGTCCTTCCCCTCTCACTGCCCATAGGCAGAAGCAAATGTAGGATTTGGATCCCCTATTACTAACTATGAGTTCATTGTGAGAAATGGTGCTTTATATGTTGCAGCTCTCACATGCACAGCAGGGCTATAGGCCACTACTTATCTGTGGGTCAGCACCAGATACACCCAGATAGGCCCAGAGGATGGTGACAGGTCTCAGGCATAATAAGCCCTGCAGAAATCTGTGCCACTAAGAAAAAAAGCAAAGCAATAACTGGAGGACGTGCTGACCATCTTTGATGAGCTAAATGTGCCTTTTGCCTCTATGGTTGCTGCCACCCAGATCACGTCCTATCAGCTAACACTGCAAACTGCTTCGGGCAGAGACACAGCGAACAATTTAATCAAACTCAATTTGAAACTATATGACATCAGATTTAAACTGATGGGCTAAAATGTGGCAGTCTGGTACTTGTCCATAAAGGGCTTTTTTATTTAGACTCTGAAGAGATGAGAAATGATGGTATGCATTGCTTCTTAGGTGTGCATGCTACTTATTAATTGCGGTCTCTTTGACAAGACCACTTCAACTCGTTCCTACAGATTTCTGTATTTTATAAGCTTTACGGTATCTGGCAATAGTACTTTTACCAAAAAACAGTGAAGCAACTTCGCAAAGATATGAGCATCTACTGCTGTCAGATCTGAACCTGATTTTCAGGATGGTCAGTAGCTACCATCCCAGTGCTACTGTGGCAGCAGATACACTGATACCTTCCAAAGTCAGACAAAGGAACAACCTTAGGCACGGTTCTGAATGACTCGTTAAAGTAATTAACATACAGCCTCCATCACCTCAAGAAATTCATTTTGGCTCCAGTATTAGAATATTGGAGCCCTTTAAACTAACGAAATGTACACAATCAGGCAATTCTATCCATGCAAATGGAAAGCAGATTTAATGTTGCAAAACGTATGCTGAATTGTGTGTTATGTGAAAGCTTGGCAAAGTCAGCCTTGTTCGCAAATCACCTTAGGCAGTGTCATGCCAAAACAAGTATGATTCTTGGGATTTTTAAGAGAGGTTTTTCCCATCACTGCTGTTGTCTCAGATTCACTGAGGGCTGAGGAAAGAATTTAAATTCTTTTGAATACATAATTATACAACACAAGGTGATCTTCCAACATACTTTGATATTTCATCATAATGAAGCATTATGAATTCATCTTACAGACTCCTATCCATCTCACCATCATGACTACAACAGAATGCCAGCTCTAGGTTAGGCACAACTAACGTAATGAAATTTGCCTCGTGAATTTTGGCTGCCAGTTCAATTGGAATATTGGATGGATGATTGGGGAAGTAGATCTGTAGATGCTCTTAATCAGCAATTGTATGAAGATCTCTGCTCACATTTTGGCACTAATTATTCTTCAGTAATGACTTGCCAGCACTACAAGTCCAGTACACCTTGGATGGGAATGTTCATCTTAAGTCAGTATTTTTTAATGCTATTCTTAAAGTAGATGATAGTTCTCCCAGTACCACTGAACTGGAAGCACGCCCAGCAGCCACAAAAATGTAAAATATCACCTTTGTTCTTTGTATCTTTCACTTGACTCACTCACCCACTCACTCCCTGAGGTCTATTTATGCAAGCTGAATCCAGAAGTCCTTACTCGGGGATATATCCTCCCTCTGTGATGATAATCTACCTGAGACTACTTAAAGAGAAGGTTTGATTTTGTAAAATTCCTTATTTTTTTTCCTTAAGAAAGGCAAGGAGCTGGATCTGTCTCCTGTGACAGAAGATGTGTCTGCCCTATGACCTTAAAGAACTGTGTGTAAAATCTGTGTGTATGTATACCTCAGGAAAGAGGGATATTCCAGTGGAAAGAGATACACTTCCCTTCTGTGCATTTCCTTATCCTCTCAACCTTCTCTGACTTTGCTTACCACAAAATCCATGCTCTGAGGGATCCAACACCACTGCTGATATGAACCACACAGAAGATAGGACAGAAAGAAATACAGTGCACCAAAAGACTAATTTAGTTTCCCCATTAGTTCAATAAATCTCAAATGTTGTCATGCTGCCATATTTTCCTATTTTTGTTGGTTGCTGCTGTGTTTTGTCGTTGGTTTTTTGCTCTTTTTGTTTTGTTTTAGGGAGAAGGGAGGAGGGAAATCTTGCAAGAAGTCTACAGGTCTCTGTCCTGTTTCACCATTACTTCTCTAAACCTTGGAGCTAAACCTTTATTCACCGCTCCTTGAAAAGTACCCACTGAATGGAGGAAAAAAAATCTTTATTTGTAAGGTGAGACCAGAATGCCCATAGCTTACAGATCTAAAGATGAGTTGGAGATGTCATATTATAAATAAAAATGTACTTTTGAAAGCTAGGAGCTATCATGGAACAAGATCCTGAGGTACAGATAGGATATGCAGCTACACAGTTATGTGGATATTAGCTAGGAGTCTGCATTGTGACTCTTTTCAGTTAAATCTACCATCTGTATGGTAGTCCAATACTGGTGAGGTGCTGGAGTGCTGGGCTCCTCAGCACCAGAGAGACAGGGACATACTGGAAAGAGCACAGTGAAGGGTCACAAATGGACTGGAGCATCTCCACTATAAAGGAGGGCTGGAGAGAGCTGGGGCTGTTCAGTGTAGATAAGAGGAGGCTCAGGGATAAACTCATCGATGTGTTTAAATATCTGAAGGAAGGGTGCAATGAGGACAGAGCAAAGCTGTTTTCAGTGGTGCCCAGTGCCAGGACAAGAGACACGGCACAAAGTGGAAGACAGGAGGTCCCTCTGCACGGGGCAGCACTTCTGTGTTGTGTGACACCAGAGCACTGGCACAGGTACCTGGAGGCTGTGGGGGTCTCCTCTTTAGAGATCATCAGAAGCTGGGCACCCTGCTTAGGCGGGCCCTACTGGGCCACATAGACCCAGAGGATCCTGCCCATATCAACCACACTGTGATTTGTGATAACATGGAAATAGAAACAGATCTCAACATAAGGCTGAACTGTAAAACCTAACGTACCTTGAAAAAATTAGCACCTACTTACAGTTTAGAAGGACTTAATACTACTAATTCCTTGGCTGAAAGGCTCACTTATATGTAGCCAAACAAGTAAGATTTTATCATTCTCCAACTTTCCCATTTCATGCCGTTGTTTCATACTGTTTTTCACCTTCACTGAGTATTCTATGTGTCAGAGCTTAATATGGGTGTCTAAAAGGTTGAGCATTTTATTTTATAGACAGTGTGTTTCACATCTATGTTACTCAGTAAAAACTGAGATATAAACATTTCCTAAGCAAGTCTCTGAAAAAATTCCCCCTGGTGCAACTCTGCTAACATGCCAAAGCAATTCTAAAAGTATTGTATACAATGACAATGCAGTGACACCCTCGAGATAAATGAGGTTTAACTGTAAACTGACCACATTACTTCTAGACTTCAGTTTAAGCCCGTGGTCCACAAAGCAAAGACAGCCTG